CCCCGCCCCCTCCCCGGCACGGCCAATGGGGGCGCCCCCCGGCCCGGCGTTCCAGGCCCATCCGGGCACTGCTGAGCCGTCGCGCGCCGGGCTTTGTCTGCGTGCCTCGGGCCCGCCCCCGGCAAGGGTCAGCGCCTGCGCCGCTCTGGCAACGGCTTGCTGGGCGCTGGCGGCTGTGGCGTCGGGGAGGACCAGCCTCGGGCCTCGCCGCAGCCCCCGGGGAGAAGCGCTGTCGGGTAAGGTGTCCCGGCCCTTCTGCCGCGGGCCCAAGTCTTCGCGCCCTTCAGCGCTTGCTGGGCGCCCGGGACCCGGCTGGGTAAAACGTCCCGCCGCTTCTGCAGCGAGGAGATCCCACAGGCAGTTTCCAAGGTCCGGCTGCCGCAGCTGGGGAACAGGAGCGATTCGTGCCCCAGTGAAGCGGGTTGCGGTGGATGTATGATGGCTTTTCCTCAAACAGCAAATCAGCCAGAGCTGCTTTTCGGAAGTGAAAGTACCCACCGGGGTTTGCCCCAATGACCCTTTCCCGCTCCTCCGTCTAGAACAGCCGTTGCACCCTGGGGGACCACGACATGATCCTTTCATGTGCAGTGTTAGGTGGGCAGACGTGGCGACTCACCGGGTAAACCTGGAGGTTTTGGATAAGAATCCACGCGGTCAAAAACCTGCCGCGGCTTTCTGAATGCTTTGCGACAGAATTGCTCTATTGTCTCTGTAATCGACAAAGCAAGTGAAAACGGGAAGTTGACACTTTCCAAGGGGTGCCTCTAACCTAAGGAGGCTGAGAACCGCTGGTGTAAAAGATTACCAGGAAGCATTCATTTATCACATACTGTAAGTGAGAAACCTAGCATTTTAATGACAAGCTGGTAGCAATCTTGAGCTTTGAGGCTTGTATCTTTATTGCTGTAAAGTTTACAATGTAAACCAATGGCTCTCAACCTTTTTAGACTTGAAGGACCACTTGTAAGAGCCCAGTTTTTAGGGTTTGGTTTTTTTTGTTTGGTTGGGGTTTTTTTGTTTGCTTTTTTTAAAGCAATTCTTCTGTTGCAAAGAACTCGGAAAGACCACAGCAGGTCAGAATGTTTTTAATGCAAGGAAATACTGGGTTTATTTTGAATCATGTTTGCACATCTGACAGTGCTAATGTTGTATGGTCCTCTTGAAAGTATTTCAAGGCACCTCAGAGTATTGTGTCATCCTGGCTGAGAATCACTGCTGTAAACCTTAACACAGGCCATTATAATTTTTCTTAATCTAATTAGGCTACTTGTAACCCTTTCTCCCTGCTTTGAGATCTACAGCTAGAGAGCCATGATGCACCAGACTCTGCTGTCCTCACTTATACCAAGTATTATCTAACTCCAGATAGATGCATCCACATCAATAGGATTTCATTTGGACTCTGGGACTATTCCGCACTCACAAGAACATCCAACTTAGCCCATGTAAATGCAAAATAGTTGAGTTGATCATATTTTTGCAGTCTGGAAAGCATAATAAACCCAGGTTTGTTTGCTTTTAATCCAGTAAATTAGAAACAGTGTGCAAAGTGTTAAATAGGATGTGTTACCAGATGATTCAATGGAAAAAAGCAAGGCCACACTACCTAAGCTAATCTTGGCTTCTGTAGAGCCATGCCTCATTCCAAGTGCAGCTAAGAAGATATGCAAATGCTAAGTAGTCTAGGTAACTATGCTGCACAGTGCCTTCCCCACTGGAAATATTGGTAAAGCAGGTTAACAAATTAAGCATCAAACCCAAAATTAGGCACTGATTGCAGAACAGAGATTCAAGTTCTAACTCATTGCTTGGTGTACATAACTAAACAACTGAACCTTTGTTCTAATGCTTAGCATATATATATTGCTCTATTACCTGCAGATCTCAAATTGCTTTACGAGGGCAAGCAGGATTTATTTGCTGGGTAAGATAGTGCCTAAGTGTAGAGACTTTAATCTGCATACAAAGTAATGTGGTCCATTGGATGATGCCTGTGTCTACTGGCACATTACTTGTGAAGTATTACACAGATCTATCAGACAATTGTAACAGTCCTTTCTAAGCTTACATCTGTATCATGGTTTCATCCACATCTCTATCCCCCCACTTCTTGGGTTGAGGAGCTTTTTCAAGTCTTCCACTGTCCAATCCTGCAATCTGGAAAGGCATATGGTAAAGAGCCAATTATTTGGCAAGTCACCAAGCCAGCATATTTTGTATTAGCCAAACCATTAGGCTGCAGTTGGGTTTTGCTTGTGCATTGCTTATCTCTGGGGCCTTGAGGCTTTAGTACTTTACATAGTACCATATGTTCATTTCTTATTTTTTAATATTTTCTGTACGGTCCAGTAATTGTAGTTTTCAGCACTTCGTACTATGGTGTTCAATTATCCAGGTCTCTTCTAAACTGTAGCCTAACAGAGAGTCACTTTGTCTCCATACATACAATGCCTGATCCTGTTCTCACTGCAATAGGGAAATGAATCGCATCACAGTGATACGAATGGAAAGAGAACTAGATTCTAACAAAAATCATTAAAAAGTTTGCTTGATGGGAAGCTGTTCTTTATTGCAAACTTCCAGTACTGCTCAAAAATGAGTTTTTCAGAAAATGTATTTGTGAGACACTTCCAAGAACCATTACCAATATTTTTGAGCTGGGTGGACCCAACAAGAGTGTTAGGCAAACCCAAGCTCTGCATAGGCTAACTTTTAAAATGCAACTCAAATGCCATTTGATGAATTATGTTCAAACTACTGAACTATTTTCCTTTGCTATGAGAGATTCCACTGACTTTTCAGGCCAAACAAGTTTTCCAGACAGTGTTCTAGGTGGGTTAACCTAAGACTTAGAAATAAAAGCTGGGGGCAGCCTTAATTAAAGAGCTCCATATTAACATAAACACAAGTTGGGAATGTGTGCTGCTGTTTTTCTTTATTTTGGATGGCCATTCTGATCCAGATGGACACAGGATCTGAAAAAAAATAAAATAAATGCAAACAACCTCAAGTTAGGTGTTTATTAGAGGTAGGCCAGTATATTGGTTGCATGTTGGATCAGCACTGATAAACAGAAAATAAACATTGTTGGCAATTGACTTTTTTTGGCTGGTGTAGCCAATAATGTCACCAATAAGTGCCACATGCATGCACACAACCCCAGAGGAGGCATAGGAGACATGTTTGTGAGGTTGTTTTGTTTTGTTTTGTTTCCCCATGCCCCCTCCCACGCCCCTCTGGCTTTGTGCACTGGCAAAGGCAGGCTCAGGGCAAGGGGCTGTGCTAGACACTTCTCAGCAGGGGGCGAGGCCAGGGATGTGTTCAGGGTAGACAGGTGGTGGTGGTGCTGGGAAGGATGGCTACAGGGAATTTTGGGGTGGCTGTAGCCCACCCTGTAGCCAGCCCTCCCAGCACTACTGCTGTCTCTAGGGTCCAGTTTTTCTCTTGTCATTCTTTGGCCCAGGTGAAGAAAGGAGCAGCTCACAACTCCGAGTCTCCTACTGTGCTCATACAAGTCCCAGAGTAGATCAGGTGTTGCTCTGACTTCAGCCAGTTGGTCTAAGTGTAGCTTGTGTGCTCCTTGGGGTGAGAATTGTCAATAATGTATGCTGAGCCACAAGCTGGTTGACTGAGACATTCCAGCAGTTTAAAAGATAAATACTAAGTTCTCTACAGAATTATAAGCCAACTGAAATAGTGGAGCAGATGCCCTCAGCATCCAGCAAGTGTCAGGAGAGGGTGGGGGTACTTGATATTAAAGTTGGCTATGATGCGTCAGGACTAATTGCATAATTGAGTGGCTGGAAAGTGGCCTGAAAAGTGGCAGAAAAAAATCAGGCTTTAGGCAGTTAGAGAAGGAGACATTTTCCTTCAAATGTTTACATAAGTTACCAAATAGGCATGCTGTGAAGTATAATTATGCTCATAAAGAGCATTGAGATGTACAGATAAAAGCATTGACTATATAACAGAGACAAACTGACCTTGAAATGCATGATTGTTTCTGATGTTAGCATGAAGCAAATGTTGCATTGTATGTGCCTTTGTTTTCCAGAGCAGAGCACCAAGAATAATTTATGGCAGTTAATGTCTAATAAACTGTTAAGTATATTTTCCTTGGAACATGGCATGAGTCACTTATACAGTTTACATCAAGTTTATAAATGATGTTATACAAATGGGTTTGCTAATGGGACACCACTTTAGACGGACTAATTTGTTAATGCAACTTCTCAGAGGAATCAAAGGACACTCACCGGCTGGGAGGGAGGCCGACTGGGTGGAGGCAAGCTTTATGTTTGAATGTTGACATACAGGCTTCCAATGTATCCAGCACACACCACACTGAGTGCTCCTAGGACTTTGAACATGGTGGATCTTGAAACCCAAACAGAATTTTCTGGGAAAGAAAATTATGTGAAAGATTGTAAAAGTTGCATTTTTTTCCAGTATGTACGAACATGCCCCTGGCTTATTTACAGTATTATCAGTAATCCCATTCTCAAAGATAGACCATAAATTGAACCATACAAGCTTCTAGCCAGAATAGGAGCTATCCCTTTATTGGCTAAGCTTTTTCCCAGTGCCTAGAAAAACACACCAGCTCAGCATCATGTGAGGAACTGAGGGTGGAAATAGACAGCATCTCACCTCTCATTTATACCACCATAAAATGTTTTATGGTTGTATAAACCATGAGCTAATAGACATCAGTACTCTTTGTTGAACCATATCAGAAGAAAATCAGTGTTGCAAGAAAAGGTAGCAAACTGCCATTTTATTGCAGTGGACACCTGTTAACTCTGTGACAGGAGAGTAAAGGCAGTCTGAGCTGGTTGCACTCTCCAGCCACCCTGGATAGGTCCTTGGGGGGCTCAAGAGCCCCTCAAGCCCCCAAAGTACCTGCTTGGCTTTCCCTGCCTAGAGGGGCACACCAGGGACTCTTAAGGGTGCTTCTCAATAAGTGGGGTAGTCAGGGGTCCCTATTCACCCAAATCCATCTATGGTGATCCCAAGTGCAAGTCTGGGCAAGCAGGGAAACTCCCTGCTTGCAGACATGCCTCTTCCCCCTGCTCCCCATGTGTGAGAGCGAGGGAATCCCTTGCAGGATTAGGAGGAGGTAAATTCAAGATTCTTTTCCAAGAGCATATTGCTGGCTGCTTCCTCTCACTGGGGACTCCAGCATCTTTGCCAATCGCATTTCCAAAACGTTCACATGGGGAAAGGAGGTCTCAAGTAACTAAGAAAACCATGGTGAACTTAGTTAAAAATCAATGATTCAGTCCCTCTTTATAAACCAGTATGCAGCTAATGCAGAGCCTGCAGCATTATATGCTCCTGGTACAAGGTTCTGCTCTAAGAGCATGCAGCTGCATTAATTACCAGCTTCACCGTTCCCCCTAGCATGTAGCCCTGTAAAGAGATTGTCACAACAGGCTAGTTTAGAGGCCAGAAAGGCTAGATAATAGCAGGAAAATCCCTTCATCGAAAAGGAACGGGCAGTCTCACTGCCGGGTATCAGTGAAGAAAACAACCTAAGTCACAGCTATACCTTGGATGCCCAGTAGAGGGCAAAGCTCTAACAAGACTTAAGTTGAACCTCTGTCATACTGTCTCAATCAGTACAGCTAATACAAGGCCCAGAACCATCAACGGGCCTTGGTTCTACCCAGGGGTGAGCCAGGGCCACCCAGCTCACATCAGAGTCCATTTTTTTGTGCACACACAGACAGCAAATATACGTAAATGAAAAATGGAATTACCAAAGTTTGCTTTTGATAGTTATCTGACATCCAATGACATAATTAAATATTAGATTAGATCCATGGTATTTCCTTTCTGTAGGAAATCAATTTTCTTCCCTATCAGCTTTAGTAAAGAATCTGATATCGTACCACACTTATTAGTTAAACTGCAGAAGATGAGGATTAGTGTACAAACTGTAAGGTGAGTAAAGAACTGGATGGAAAGAAGACAACGGCTTGTGCTGAGAACTGTACTGGGCTGAGGGAGGGAAGAGAGAAGTTCTTCCAGAACTGGTCCTGAAAGCAGTTCTGTTAAATATTTTGATCAACAAACATGGCACAAAATAGAGAAGCAGATTAATGAAACTGGATGATGCAGAACTGGGAGGCACTATAAAACAGAGGAGAATCAGAACAGCACAGAGAACAAACTGAATGACTTCAGGGACTGGAGTATTAAGAGATAAGATGAAATGTCATACTACACCTAGAACCCATGTGCAAGTCTAGTTACCTTCAGAAAGATTAGTTCAAACTGGAGCAGATGCATAGAGGAGCTACTAGGCTGATCAGGGGAATGAAAAGCCAATATTTTGAGCAATGATAAGAGGAGTTTATCTTATTTAGTCTGGTAAAGTAAGGGGTAAAGACTAAGGAGAAAGGAGCTGTTTAAAGGACAATATTGGCACAAAACCAAATGGGCATAAATTGACTGTGAATAAATTCCAGCTGAAATTTAGGGGGCTTCTAATGATCAGAGCAGCAAGGAAAATTTTAGAACAGCCTCCCAGTGGGAGTAGGGGGCTAGAAGCCTAACTGGTTTTGCAATGGAACTTGACTTGTTTATGAGATGAATTACACGTCATGTTTGTCTGCAGCAATAGGACAATAATCTCAGTGACCAAGAAGGTTTCTTCCAATCCCATATCCCATTGTTTCACTGCTCCATGAGGACTACAAACATTTGATTTATCAACTGATAAGCACATTTTGCGATCACTACATATGATGCGTCAGACACATGGGCAGCAAGACAGCCCCCATTTGTCTTTTCTCTGGCAAACGGGATTATTTGTGAACCCTCACTGCAATACAGTTAAGGCAAAGGTTTTCAACCTTTTTTAACAAGTGTACCCTTCATATTTTTTTCTTGTTTTTAAGAGGGGAGGGAGCAGATCGAGGCCCCTGTGGTGAGGGAGGGAGCGGGGCATAAGCAGGAGCAGGGACTAGGGTTTGTGGGGCCCCCAGGGTGTGGCAGCAGTGAAAACCCCTGACAGAGCAAATGGGCCGAGCAGTTGTGAACAATGTACAGAATCTCCCCTCTTGTCTCCAGGAATACTACTTGCTCCTAATACAAAGACACAGATTTCACAGCTGTAATAGAAGCCATAGGCTGTGTGTGCCAGGGCAGCAGCTGTATACAGGAGCATGTTCAAGGTGATCCTCAAGGGCCAAGTAGCCAGTGGGTTGCAAATATGCCAAGTATAACATTTCAACTTTCTTATCTACTTCCATTTATCTGAAATGTGCTGATGCACAGCTTAGAATCTGGTATCGCTTCTAGCAGCAACCAGCTTGAGTGACCACTTGGTTTGGACAATTAAAGGAAGCCTATTTACATATTTCTTAAGATTTACCCTGCAACTCTTGCTCCTTCCTGTTTGGTCTGGCAGTACACTTTATGAAAGTGATAGGAGCTTTCCCTGAAGATGGAAAGCTCGTATGGGTCAGTTTTTCCAGGCGGACCTTGCAAAAGCGAGAAGTAAAAGTTGGGTTTTATTGCAAGGATACCACCAGTTCTCCTAAGCAGAAATAGCATCCTCCAAAATCTCATCTTCACACAGATGGAAAGGATCCAACAGTTCATTTCTGTAGTTTGAATTTTCCCCTCTTCTACAACTTGCCCTTACAGGAGCCTCCTCTGGACCTGGATAGAGTGGTAAGACCTTCTCAATTGGCACCGCTGTTCATTACAGAACATGGTGTGTGCACTGATGAGTTCTCTGGCTGCTGAGTCTGATGCGCAAGTGACAGTCCCACCCACAGGTAGGGCACACCCATGCACTAGCAATGCTCTGAATCCAAGCAGCAGATTCTTTCTTCTTCTGACACCGGTCATCACAAAACTTCATCCAGTCCACAGCGCCTTGCTTCATCTAAAAGTTAACTCTGCTGGCCAGAGTGGCATTTTGCACTCCTTTCCCAATCATCCACAGAGATTCCGAAGGAGGCTAAGTCATCTTTGCAAGCATCCTGAAATTTGCACTGTGGTCTGCCTCTTTCGTAGACCCTTTGCAAGTTTCAGAGAACAGCACATTCTTTAGGATCCTGTGATCTGGCATTTGCTTGACATGAGCAAGCCACCTGAGTCTTTTTTTTACTAATCAGTGTTCCCATGAATGACATACCAGCACATTTAACACTTCCACATTTGTCACCCTATCTTGCCATCTTATTTGCAGAATTTTACACAGGCATCTAAGTTTGGTGTAGGTCACCCATGTTTCTGAGCCATATAGAAGAGCGGATAAAACACATCTCATAAATATGGATTTTCACTTTAGCTGACAGTTTGTTATTGTTCCAGGCTCTGTCTTGCAAAAGGCCAAAGTTCCTGGCTGCTTTGTCAATTCAACTAGCAAGCTCAGCATCAAGATCTACACTGCTGGTAACAATAGAGCCAAGGTAGAAAAATTGGTCAAAAACATCCAGACAAGTAACACCTAGGGTGATGTCTGGAACTGGTTCTGAAGAGCCTTGGTGCATGATGACAGTTTTCTTCAAGCGTATTCCTAGCCCAAAGATTTTGCATGAGTCAGAGAATGTGGTAATGCATCAACAGCATGTGCCACAAGGGCTGCCTCATTGCAAACAACAGGTCCTTTAGGATGATCTCCTTCACCTTCACCTCAATGTTAAACAGTTCTCCATCGTGTCTAGTGGACACCCTCTCAAACATAATGGAATGCATGTTGAAGCAGGAACGAGAAGTTAAACAATGTGGGAGCTAGTACGCAGTCCTGCTTCTCTAAGTTGTTGATGTTGAAGGAGTCAGACTCTTGGTTTTCACACATTACAGTTGCCTTCATACCATCTCATAAGGATTTCACAAGGTTTAGCAATATAGGTGGACAACCAAGCCTTTTCAGAACAAACGTAAAGCCCTGACCAACTAACCAGCTCAAAGGCTTTTGTTAAATCTATAAAAGCCATGTACAGTGGGATGTTTCTCTTAACACTTTTTCTGCACTTACAAAGAAGACCATATCTATGGTGGACCTTGCTGAGTGGAAGCCACACTGGCTCTCTCAGGATAGATTCTCTCAGTTAATGTTTGAAATCTAGGTAACGAATACAGCTTACAATTTTTCCCGCAATGTTGAGAAAAGATTATACCTCTGTGGTTATTACAGTCACTTCCATCTCCTTCGTTTTTATACAGTTGGATGAAATGAATGTCCTTGAAATCTTGGGGAACAGTTTCTTCCTTCCAACAAAGTAGCAGTACCTCATGCAATCTTTGCAGCAGGTCTTTGTTTGCACATTTGTAAATTTCATCCAGTAGAGCATCAGATCCTCAAGCTTTGTTATAAGGAATCTTTTTGATGCATTGTTCAAGTTCCTTCAGTGTAGGTTTGGCATCCAGCAAAGCCAT